TAGTCTAATGCCTACTATCGTTAGCTGTAGTATTCTAGAATCCAAAATCCTCTTTAAAAACAATTTTTTAGAAATAACATGCCAATTTAATAGAACTTCCTATTTTTTAGAATAAACGGAAACCATTTAACAGAATTTTCAAGAATTAAATAGAAACAGTTTAACATAATTTTTCCATGAATAGAGTCAAACATAATTAACAAATATTCTATTCCAAACAATTTCAAAAATTTCATACATGTCCCATGTTTCACTTTTAAAACAGAATTTAATCAAATTTTCGGAAATTAGATATAACTTATAAAATCAAAGTTTATAACAATTATGAAAAAACTATAAATACTCATAAATGTACATTATTACTCACAGAACCGATAGGAATCGAGTGATCAAATCTCCTGTGATATCAAGTCTCATTGGGAATCATGTAGAGAATCTAAGACAATAAAATATTTTACTTTAGGTTACTATTACATCTAATAATCATTTAAACACAATTTCCTTGATTATAATCTAAGTAAATCTTTAGATTTTCATGGTCGAAACCCGTATTGGCTACTAAAGCCCTAGACTGGTCAAATAAGTTATGAATCAAGTGATAAAACCATGAACCAGACTTATAAAAAAAACTGGTTTATTTTACTTATAAATTAATCATTAGAACATTAAACCAGCCTTGAATCATTTATTAAAGTGTTGAACTAGCCATGATTTGGTCTTTAATTCACTAAATCAGCTTCTATTATGATGAACCGACCTTGAACTAGCCTTTACACTAAATAGGACCTTTAACATATTGAACTGGCCATAATACACTCCAAACTGAACCTAAATACAATGAATAGGACAATATACACACTAAATCGGGCTAAAAATGACTAAACTGGCCTGGTTTCATTGAATTGGCCAATTTTATGCATTAACTCCTTGGAACCGGGCTTATAACAAATCTATTTTCACTAAATCGGTCTTACCCCGGTTGGTTCATTTATTATTCTAATTTTCTATACTCTAAACTGGAGGTAAACTAATTAAAACCCATGTGAACCAACCATTTTTCCCATTTTCTACTTATTTATTTGTGTTTATTTAATCATTTTTTATCTGAATCTTGGATCTGGTTCTTTACCTAACCCGTATGTTAAACCAGCCCAAATCCTTGTTAATTTTATCTTCGGCCCAATGGCCCACGGTCAGAAAAAAGACCCCATTTATTTTTTTTTCTTTCCAAAGCCCAGACCAAGACACAGCCCAAACCCAGGGCCCAAATCATTTGATTGGGATTCGATTCAGAAAATTGGATCCAAGACAAACCCGTGGGTCTTGTCCATTCCACCTGATCGCATAACCAGACAGAGTTCTACACACTTGATTTGAAGGAGCCTAATTTTGAAGTTTTTAATCAATAATTGAGGACACCATCTCGATGCGTCTATCTTCATCCCCAAAATTGCAGTGAGTTGGTATTATTTCTTCAAAGAAACCAATAAATGCCCAGTTTGTTAACGGCAAATTGTTGTAATGAAACTGTCGCACTCAGGTAGGAAATTTTTCTAAATTAACTTTGGGCTTTTACCCAAAGAGCTCTATATTGCATTTATCTAGGCTCAATTGAGAATTATATTTGTTGATTTGAATAAAAAGAATCAGGATTTTAGGGATGCAGATATGGAATGATGAAAAGGATCCATTTTTGTGATCCTGGCAATTCAGTCCCCTGCATTCAAATTCTATTCAATTTGGTCCTTGACATTCCTAATTTTAGTTGATTATGTCCCTTAATTTCTAATTATTTCTATTTAAACCCCACAAAGTTTTAATTCCATCAATTGGGCTCTTTCACTTTTAATTTGACCCGAATCTTCCTATTTCTTTCATTTAAGCCTTTCTAAGTTAAAAAATTCTGATAATACCCCAAAAATTTAGGGTATTATAGTTCATCAAAAACTAAAGATAAGAATAAAAGTAAGAAATGAGTAGAAAATGCTTGTTCTCATCCAAATTATCCTTTCTTAGAAAAAAAAAAAAAAAAAAGAGGATCAAATCATCAAAAGAATACAAGGCATGCAAAAAGCAAAGAATGATACAAGGCATGCAAAAAGAAAAGCAAAGAATGATGCAGGTGTGAAAAAAGACTTCAAAAAGTATGCAAAGATAATGACCAAGACTTCTTTGCAAAACATGTAGGCTGGCAAGTACTGCAAAAGACATTATTCTCATGTGAAAGCTTGCAAGATTCTTGCATGACAACTAAAGACTCCAACATCAAGACAAATATTGCAATGAATACTATCCCATGTAACTACCTACAAGATTCTTGCATGAAGAAGAGATGACTATGATAGACACTTTGCCAAGCTGCAAAAATTGTATCTAATTTTATTCTTGAGTTTGAGCCTACCTATACAAAGAAGCTTCAACAATTGTATAAGGCATCACTTGGTTTTGAAAACAAAATCCATCTCTTGGTTTTCAGAAACTATTTGAGCTTCAATTCCTCCCAATTTGTATTCTCCAAGTTGTGTTCAAATAGTTCAAATGCAATTCAAGTTCTCTTTAAATTGTTTTGAATATTTCTTCAAATTTCATTTCTACAATTTAGCCATACATGTATTTCAATTTTCAAATTCTTAATTCTCTGTATTTAAATTATTTGTTCTTCAATTTAATAGCATTGTTCTTGGGTTTCTTTGGTATCTTAGTTATAAAAGTAGAGAAGAATATCAAATTTTAAGCAATTTTAGGTGTGAAGGTTTTAATTTAATCCTCAAATAAATACTAAATTGATCTAAATTGGTGTTTACGGTCGCGTTGCTTAAGGGCAAAGGTTATCTTTATTATACGGTAAACTGACATTATGTTTTTACCTTGCCCACAAAGCATTTGGTAAATTTGATAAGGTTTCTTTTATTAACTTTTCTTGGAAATTTGAGATTGCAATTTGCATATTTTTATCTAATAATTCATTTTGAATGCTCTGATTAAAGTTTTTCATCTTTTAATAGATTTAATTGTCTTTCTTTGTAGATTATTCTTACTATTGACTTGAACTATTTTTTATGATATATTACTAAACTTTTCAAATGATTTAAGTCTTTTATATCTTGAGGATTTAAAAAGTCAAATATTATTTCTTGGTTATTGATTATTGTTGAGATCCCTCTACTTGAGACTGCCATTGGTTGTAATAAATTTAGGAATAGGGTTCCCAATATTTCTTCTCTATTGAGATTGCCTACTTGTAATAAAAGGATTTTTATACAAATCCCTAGATTGCAGACATGAGTTTTTTAAAGTTTGTATTTCATTTTGAGCGGAGAACCATTGGCTGATGATAATATTTCTATTGTTGGTTCAAAGTATGTCTTTCTTGGATAAAATTGAGGTTAGCACCAAAACCCATTAATGCTATCGCGTGGAGAGTATATTTTTTGTTAATTACAATTTTTAATTTTACATTCCATTTTTGGTATGAAATTTGGGATAGCAAATTAATATCATGAATATTGTCTAGTGGTGCAAATATTTCAAAATCTTCTTATATTTCCTCTTTACCTTTTGATTTATTTTTGATAATCATTACTTGATTTTTTAAATCTTCCACCTCAATTTTGTTCATATTCATTTGTTCTTTAATTAATCTTATTTCAGATTTTAGTTGTCTCATATCTTGGTTAATCTAGTCAATAGTTATTGTCTTTTGTTTTATTGGATTGTTTTTTGATGTATTTTCTTGTAAGGATTGTTGTAATTTTAATAAGTACTCCTTTTTTAATTGGGGATCATTTATATGTTCTATCATTCTCCAATTTAATTCTTGTTCTTTTGAAATAACATTAATTATATTATAAGTACAATGTTCATTTGTGGTTTTATCTTCAGAAGATGATGAGTGACTTTGACATTGAGATTCTGATTGTAACATATCTAATTCATACTTAGAGTTTGTTGATATTTTTACTTCAGAATTTGAAGAATCAGAATTAATTAATAATTTTGTTAATTGTTTTTTTAAATATTCATCTATATCTAAAGAATTAGTTTTATTTTTGGTTGGGCATTTTTTTTTGAGATGTCCACTTTTTCCACATTTATAACATGTTGGCAAAAATTTGAAGAATCAGATAGGTTTTATTTTTTGTGTCTTTAGGCTTAGAGAACTTTTATCGGTCTTGTAAAAATTTTCTTTGCTTGGCTTAGGTTTATAATTCCTATGTTTTATTTGTTTTTTGTTAGGTTTTCTTCTTGATGGAGGGATTTTTGTATGTTATTAAAACCATATTGTTGACAAAAATTGCCTAACTCTCTTCTAGAATTTGTTAATTCTTTTTGCAAATCTTGATTTATGTGGAAGTTTGTACATATTTTTATAGCTGTTCTCTCATTACATCTAAGATATCAGTATGAGTCAAATTATCACAATTAATTTTTTTTTATTTTCATTTTGGCTTCTCAAATTTTTTTAACTTTTTCTACAAAAAGTTTGGATCGAACATCTATGAAGATGGTGAAGTTTACCAGGTTGAAACCCCAGAGATCAAGGTATGTGCCAACTGAACAATTCCACTACGAAATTGAGGCCTTGCCCTTCCCTATTATTTTTTTAAAGTAAAAAATGGGACTATCAAACAGTTTGATGCCAATTGACAAAAAGGAAACTGACTTGTTGACTTCGCGTCCGTCATTTTTATCACAAGGCAAACCATGCCTATGTCTCACTGCTCGAGCATTTTACAGCAATTGCAAGGCTTAGAGTTGCATGAAGACAATCAAATTCATAGCGAAGTGCTCTACAGATTATTAAATTACTGTCTTCAAGTTTCAGAAAAGTTCTGACATATTTATTTATTTTATATATATGTTATCCAGTGGCTCATGTTTAACATATACTACTAGTCTTGTGCACCCCCCCCCCCCCCCCCTTCTCAAGAAAAAGGGGCATGTGTTAAATGACACTGCAGATAAGTGCATGCTTGTTATCTGTTTAGCGTAGTGCAGTCATGCTCCATAGATCTTCGTCTGTATGATTCCATTCATTCTCAGTTAACTTGATATAATTTTATGGTAGTCTTGAACAACTTTCACAAGCAGTACAGAAACTCAGATTGACAATCCTGCTTTTGTTATTCTAGGGAAATCGGCTAAGAGGAGGACCTCAAATGTTCCAGTTGAGTTTAGATGGGAAGCGGCTTTACGTCACTAACTCACTTTTCAGTGCATGGGACCGTCAGTTCTATTCTGAAATGTTGGAGAACGGTTCACATATGCTGCAAATTGATGTTGATACTGAGAAAGGTGGCCTTACGATAAACAACAATTTCTTTGTAGACTTTGGGTTGGAACCTGATGGCCCTTCCTTGGCCCATGAGATGAGGTACCCTGGTGGTGATTGCCCTTCAGACATATGGATCTAGGCTGGGAAGTTATAATTCTAGCATGGTTTTTAGAACCATCGGTGGAGTCCAGCCTGTCTACTAAAGTATGACTTTTATTATAATAAATAAAGTTACTCGTGAAAAGCTCATAGCCCAGTGTGATCCTCCAAAATGCAGTTTCCAAAAATGTCATCAAGCTGAAAGAGATCCATTTGAAAATGCACATGTACCATGGCTTTATGAATCTACTTCCTGCTTTAGTAATGCTGGAAATTTAGAGTTCAGCCTATTAGCAATCTGTAACTGCGTGGTGTACAACAGATACAAGTTCTACATTACACGTGTGTATGTTTTATTTCCCTAGAGTTGTCTTTTGATAACAAAGGGTTAGCCATGCTGAGTTCTTAGTTGTATGTGATTACGGTTTTTAACGTATAACTCGGCAATGAACAGGAATTTATATAGGGGTGCTCAAAACCGAATTGGAGCAATTGTACCGAACCAAACCGAAAGGAATCGATTTAATTCGGTTATAAAGTCTTATGAACCGATCGGTTCGGTTCGGTTCAGTTTGGTTTCGGTTTTTTCTCAAAATAAAACAAAACCAAACCGAACCGATTCTATTTATTAATAAATATGTTATATAGATATTATATCTATATTTATATTTATATTGTATTTATTATATATATTTATATGTATATATTATATTATATATATTTATATTTGTATTATATATATTTATATTAATTTTTTTTACAAATTAAAAAAAAATTGAAAAACTGAATATGTCAACTGAACCAAACCAATTTAAGTCGATTTGGTTTGGTTTGATTTTTTGAAAAAAAAACCAAACCAAAACTGACATATTCGGTTCGGTTTGGTTTAGGTCCAAAACCGAACCGAACCGAACCCGTAAACAACCCTAAATATATGTGATGTCATACTCGCACCTTAACTTTAACCCGCCTCTTAGAGTATTGAATTGAAAAGGATTATGAATTTGAAGCTTATATAAACACTAAAAAGAATTAGGAGAACTTTATTTTTAGTTAAAAAAAATATAGATTTGTCACCTAACATAATTAAAAGTGTGTTAGGTTACCTTAATATTTATAAAGAAAACATATTAGAAAGTGATTTTGGACAAGAAAATTAAAAGAAGAGAGGCATTTATTTCAAAATGACTATAAACTTATTAAAAACTAAAAACTAAGAATCTTGAGGTCTTTTTAAGAGAGGGTAAGGTGTTAGGGATCTTAAATGCTTGATAATTGACACTACTAAAAAAATGGCATTTAGTGACCGTATCATTGGTCATTAATTTCAAAAGACAGCGGTCACTGAATGAATCAATGACCGCATTTGTGACTGATATGGTCGGTCAAAAAAAATCTCATCACTAATCGATTTTGTGATCAAGGTGGTCACTAATCAATAACCGAAATAACCAGTCGCTAATTAGTGATCGCTACAATTGGTCACTAATTTGGCCACTAAATAGTGACTGCAGTTTTCATATCATTAATCAGTGACTGAATATTGTCAGTCACTAATTAGTGAGCGAAACATGCAATCACTAATTTGTGACTGAAAACATGCGGTCACTAATTTGTAATCGAATATTTTCGGTCACTGATTATTTAGTGACCCTTTTTATGACAAAATTAGATACACATTTACTGACTGCAAACATGATAGGTAATCAGTGACCGCAATTTTTCCATCACTAGTCGGTTACTAATTAGTGACCCTATTAACTTTATCATTCTAACTGTATGCAAAATTACAATTGGGTCACTAATTTTGTGACCTTCTTGTAACCCATTTTAGGAGTCACTGGTGTTGTAATTGCTGTAATACGTATATATCATTTCAATTCCTATAATACATTATAATTCTTGTGATGCGTTTATGTCATTTCAATTGTATTTCACCAGTAGCATACATGAAAAGTTATTAAACATCATAGTATAATTAGTTTGAAATGTCAAATTCTTTAATAATACAATTTGATAACTATTTTGGAACATAAAAAATGAAATAAGAATGTAAAGTATTAAAACATAATAATGTTAAACTGTAACTTCACAGCTTATTGCCTTCTCCAGTGCTCCCATTTTGGGTTGATGATCCACCTTACACTGTGTTGAACTTTTCCATCATTGCAGTCATTGCAGCTATCATAGCCTCCTCCTTAGCCTTTATTGCCTCCTCTCTAGCCTTTAGTGTCTCTGCTGCTAATTTCTTGGTCTCCTCAAGCACTTGTGCCTCTCTTGATGTTGCTGCACATCTCTCCTCTGCAAGTGCTTTAACAATTGCCTCTTGTAATTGATCTGAATTGACATATTCAAGAAGAGGTACTATGGAGATGGATTCAAATGAAGTGCCAATAGAAGCAAGCTCTCTACAATGATAGGTGTTCTTAAAACCATAAATTCGATTTTTGTAGGGCTGACCATAGATTGCAACACATTTCTATGCATCAAATGAGCTTTTTAGAGTAGGATTACTACCATATTGACTGCAATATGACTGCTCATACTCCTCCTAGAAATAAATCAATGACAAGTATAAAATTAATGTAAATTAACATTAATGACAAGTAATCGCATTACCTTACATGATGATAAGATTATAATAGAAGAAATAAAAAAATAGATTTTGGTAAGAAAGACAAATAGAACTATGCTTGTAACTCAGCTGAGATCTGCTTGTAACCGGTTGGAATTATGCTTGTAATTGAACAAAGCTATGCTTGTAACTGAACAGGTCTAAGCCACAAGCATCCATTGGTTCAGTTACAAGTAGAGTTCCGTTTAGTTACAAGCAAAGCTTAATTCAGTTCCAAGCATATCTCATTTCAATTACACACAATATGTCCCTCTATTTAACCAAACTCGGGACCAAGTCTTAGAGACAATGACTTGTTCAGTTACAAGCATAGCTTTGTATGGTTACAAGGAGAGGCCATATAGTTATAAGTACATCTAAGTTCAGTTATATGCATATATCTTCAATGATAAAACAAAGTGTAATCCCAGTCACATAAGCATTCGTTGGTTCAATTACAAGTAGGGTTCCTTTTAGCTTTGAGCAGATTTCAGTTCAGTTTCAAGCATGTCTCCATTTAGTTATATGCAGATATGTCCCTCTATTCAACCAAACCTAGGACCAAGTTTAAAAGGCAATGACTTGTTCAGTTACAAGCATAGTTTTGTATGGCTACAAAGAGAGGCCTGTACAGTTACAAGTTACATCTAAGTTTAGTTACATACATATATCTTCAATGATGAAACGAAGTGTAATCTTAGTCACACAAGCATCAATTGGTTCAGTTACAGCAGGGTTTTTGTTAGTTACAAGCAGATCTCAGTTCAGTTTCAAGTATATCTCTGTTTAGTTACATGTAGATATATCCCTCTATTCAACCAAATGTAAGACCAAGTTTTAGAGGTAATGACTTATTCAGTTACAACTATAGTTTTGTATGGTTACAAGGTAAGGCTCGTTTAGTTGCAACCATATCTAAGTTCAGTTACATGCATATATCTTCAATGATAAAACGAAACGCAATCCCAATCATACAAGCATCCATTGATTTAGTTACAAATAGGGTTCCATTTAGTTTTATGCAGATCTCAGTTTAGTTCCAAACATATCTCTGTTCAGTTACATACAGATATGTCCCTTTATTCAATCAAATGTAGGACCAAGTTTTAGAGGCAACCATATCTTCAATGATAAAAACGAAGCACAATTCTAGTCACACAACCATCCATTGGTTCAGTTATAACTAGGGTTCCATTTAGTTATATGCAAATTCCAATTCAGTTCCAAGCATATCTTCGTTCAATTACATGTAGATATGTCCTTCTATTCAACCAAACCTAGGACCAAGTCTTAAAGGCAATGACTTGATCAATTACAAGCATAGCTTTGTATGGTTACAAGGAGAGGTCTATTTAGTTACAAGCACATTTAAGTTCTGTTACATGCATATATGTTCATTGATAAAACGAAGTTTAATCCCAATCACACAAACAACCATTATTTCAATTACAAACAGGATTCTGTTCAGTGACAAGCAGCTCTTAGTTCAGCCTCATATAATAGGTATTAGAAGCTATTGGAAGCTTACTTGCCTAAACAAAGTATATAAGCCACATTCAAAGTTAGGAAATAAACCACCTTCAAATTTAAGAATCACATGATATAATAAGTCCAGTGAAAAATCAAATATTTTAAGCACTTGTCAAGAATAGTAGTAGCATAAATAACATATATTGAGTGAAAATTATGTAATGGATTTTAATCTATTGTGAATTTGGCATTAAAAGCTTACTCGAATCCTCTTTGACTTGTTGTCGACATAATCACCCTCTCCTTGTTTTCTCCAGTAAGTGCGGTCATGGACCTCAACTTGGTTGATTCTTGTCCCACCTTGTTCCTAGTGTATTAATTCATTAAGTGAATAATTTATATAATATAAATGTAATTGAACTATGACTATGAAAAGAAACTTACCATTCTACATTTGTGCTCGGCAAATGAAATGGAATCGCAGTGTGCTTTACAATTATCCATATTTCTCAGTCAATCTGTTTTC